GTGTGTGTGTGTGTGTGTGTGTGTGTGTGTGTGTCATTTCCAGGAGAAAACCCCAGATAAATGTTTTATTTTTATTTTTTTTATCTAAGCAGGGATATTGAACTGACAGCTCGCGGGCCACATCCAGCCCACAGGTGACCAAAATCCGGCCCGCCAATTGGTTCTTAAGCTCAAACCTCCAGTTTTTTTTACTTTCATTAGTTCTTTTAGTTAAACATAGACATGTGTGGTATCTACAGAAATGTCAGAATCTTGGCTAGAAGCTGGTAAAAGGCATTTCTATGAACATCCAGATAAAACCAAGATAAGTAAAAATAAAATTGGTTTAAAAATTTGCCAAGTCAGACATATCATTGTGTTAAATAGGAGCCATAATGTGTTAGTTTTGTTTTTGAAATTGTTTAAATCGCACTACTTTCATTACACAGGGTATGTTACGTAGGGCATGTATGTTATATTCATGATTAAATTCAGCAAAATAAACTAATTCAAAGGTAACAGATCTTTGTAATTGATTTATTTACATAATGATTTTAATTGCTGGATGTTTGGTCCCTGAGCTGTTGGCCTGCAATAATTGGCCCCCGGAGCAATTTAGTTGAATGGCCCTGCTCTAAATATAAATCAGATATTTTAATAAAAGAAAGACAAGCATAAAGTAGTTCAAACAAGCTTTAAGGAATTCCTCCTAAAGTTTATGAAATGGGGCTGTTTGCAAGAGTTCACTCTGGTATTTTATGTTTGTTTGCAGGTCAAAAATGCAGGTATGCACTCAACGTAAACAAAGCACTCAGCTGAATTTGCTGAAAACCACAGGGAAGCATGAGGCAGTAGAATCTCTGAGATGATGCTCAAGTGGAAACAGTCGAGTGAATCTGCTGGCAGTTTTAKGCAGCAGCTGTAGATTTCCGTCAGAACAGAACAGCATTTATAGCTCGCCTGAAAAAATTTGTCTCATCAGTTCCATTTTCAAGAAAAAAACCCACCTCGTTTTCTATTTTATTTCATTGTAGATTAAAAAAAACTATTTGCATACCTGAATCAATAAATTTGAACATAAATGCATTTAAACACATCAAAACTGTTGGACTCCTCCATTGTTGGCATATTTTCCATCACAGCTGTTTCTGGAGGTAGACAAATGCACCTGGTTGTTGGCAACTGTTCACTAATTTTAACTACATTTTCTAATTTAAGGACACAATATTTAAACAGTGTCCCCATGTTGTTATGTGAGGGTGCTGTGACTCTGAGAATGAAACAATTTGACAGAGAAAAGATGAAATAAATTGAAGCGTCAAAGCAAACTTATAATAAGAAAATGTGATCAAAACCACATCAAATCTTGAAGAATGAATCAAATTCTTGTTCTCTCTCGTGTGCAACACATTTTTGACAAATCACACTTGTATAAATCTTCAAAAACTGTAAATTATTGCTGCAATAAAATATAAAAATAACCCAACCACAATGATTTAAAACAACAACTCATATTAAACATTTCCTGACAAGCATCAAGTTCCATAATGTTGCTTCTGCCTCCTTTGATAAAAATATCTGACTGATGATGGCCTTGAAGAAACGTGTGTTTCTTTAAGCTTGTGTAAAAGAACTTATAACATAGAAGAAAAAGTATCTACAGAAACCCGTCATGAAGTGCAAAATGGAGAACAATTGAAAGAGTGTTTAGGAGTCTGCAAACTATTGATTTGGGCCTGTATTTATAAAACTTTGAGTGGGTTTTTAGACTTAAGTGCTGAAAATTTCTTAGATTTGCTCCTACTCTCAGACTTAAGTGTAAGTGTCAGTTATGAAAATTCTTAAGTCTAAGAATCACTCTGACTCTCAAGAAAAGTTAAGGCTGCTCCAAGAGTTCCCACTAGGGGTCTGAGATGAACTGAAGACAGAGATCACACAGATTACAGCTGTCCTCCTCCTCACCTGAGTGTATTCTCAGTTATAAGATGTGGAAAACAGGTTTAATCAGAAATATACAAAAGAAACAAAGGTAAAAATAAATAAAAAAATGCACATAATGTTAGACTAAAAGGCAGATATCTGTGTGTGGCTTTTGGAGAAAATATTAAATATACTCAGCTAGTGAGTGCATGTAACCCCCCCC